ACTAAGATTTATGAGCATTTTGAGCCGAAGGAACGGGACTATTTGGAGCTCCTTTTTGCGCCGACGGCAACCGGAGAACGGCCACAGACTGTGGTCATCCTGGGAAGCCCCAAATTTGGGAAGACGACATTCCTGCTCAAGTTGTTAATGGCCTGGGCAGTGGACGCTGTCTATCGCGACAAGTTCTTGTATGTTTTCTATTTCTGCTGCCGGGAAGTGAAGGGCTTGGCAGCCACGAGCTTGGCGGAGTTGATTTCCAGAGACTGGCCCAACTCTTCGGTGCCAATAGCTGAAATCCTGGCCCAGCCAGAGAGACTCTTGTTCATCGTCGACAGTTTTGAACAGATGCCGCGTACTCTCAGAGAACTGGAGTCCGACCTCTGCAGTGACTGGGCGCAGCGCGAGCAGCCGGGAGAGGTGGTCCTGGGGAGTTTGATGAAAAAGAAGATGCTCCCAGAGTCCTCGGTGCTCATTGCCACCACAAGCGCGAGGCAAGAGGACCTCCAGGCTCAACTGGAGCGCCCGGAAATTATCAAGCTCATGGGCTTCGATGAGGGCGACCGAAAGCTGTTCTTTGCCTGTTTCTTTCAAGACCGAAAGCGATCCACGGAGGCCTTCGGCCTCATTCAAGAAAACAAACAGCTCTTTAGCATGTGCAAAATCCCCGTCCTGTGCTGGGTGGTGTGCACTTGTCTGAAGCAGGAAATGGAGAGGGGCCGAGATCCAGCGCTCGCCTGTCACAGCGTCACCTCTGTGTACACGTCTTTCCTCCTGAACTCCTTTGCACCCAAGGGCGCTCCCTGGCCGCATCGGCCCAGCCATGCCAGAGTGAAGAGTCTGTGCTCCCTCGCTGTGGACGGCATGTGGATAAACGCCGCGGAGTTCACGGACAAGGATCTCCGGAGGAACGGACTGGTTGAAAGTGACGTCTCCGCGTTGCTGGACTTGAAGCTTCTTCGGAAGTGCAGGGGCTGTGAGGGTTTGTACACGTTCATCCACTTCTGTGTCCAAGAGTTCTGTGCCGCCCTGTTTTACATGATAGCGGACCCCCGAGATCACCCCAACCCAGCTGTGGGGAGCACAGAGGCGCTGCTGTTGCTCTTCCTAAAGAGAGAGAAGGACCCCTGGGTGTTTTTGGGGTGTTTTCTGTTTGGTCTTCTACATGCAGAGGAAAGACAAAAAGTGGAGGCCTTCTTCGGCTACCAACTATCCCAGAGCGTACAGCAGCAAATCTACCAGGGCCTGAAGGGTTTCACTGAACATGAACTTCTGGAGGCAGAGGTGGACTTCTTGGCGCTCTTTTACAGTCTGTTTGAGATGCAGGACGACGCCTTTGTGAGAAAGGCCATGGGCTGCTTCCAAGACGTTCAAATCTGCATCACGGACACCATGGACCTGATGGTTTCTGCTTACTGCCTGCAACACGCCTCTGATTTAAGGAAACTCTTTTTCTCCATCCAGAATGTCTTCGATGAGAAGAATGGAAGCCAATTTACGTGAGTCCACCCAACGACTCTCTTCCTAGCTCCTTTCCAGCCCCTATTTATGGTCACCAGTGGGTGTGGCTGACAGAGGGGCTCACACAGAGCATCATGGGGCGGGTCTCACCGTATGCCTTCACCTCTTGACTTAACCGCTTGGCGTGCGTGACCTTGTGCAGGAGACTCGCCCTTTCTTGGCCGCAGTTGCCTCATTCTAAAGGGGCTAAGGTAGGCTGTAGTCGACCACATTGCAGGTGGACCTATCCGACCGCCTCTGGCTTCCCTGTTGCCACGAGGAAGGGCTCCGGCAAGCCTCCATGGTCCAACCTTCTTTACCTATTCTGACACTGACCGTTCCTCCCGCACCACTCTACATCTATGCTGGGCCTGGTGATTCATGGCCAAGGTCACCCGGAAGTCACAATACTTACAGTGAAGGGGGAGGTGTTGAGGGAAGTTCACAGGTTACCCCAAGTCAGGATCAGCGAACGGTAAGGATATAGCCACGTCTCTCTCTCTGGTTCTGATCGGTTGGTCTTTGCCTCCATGCGCCGGGAAGCC